GTACAGGTGGGTCTCAACAATTGAGAGAGTTCGATGCAGAGAACCATTGCAAATAGCCAAATATACATATAACCACGTCCACCCCTGTATTGTCGCTTAATGTACTACAGTAAGTAGTATGTATAGTTAAAACGCATAAGTCTATGGTAATAGAAGTATTAATGCATTGGCTTTAAGTTAATAAAAAATAAAATTGATCACTGTTATTTGTGTTAGTTGATCACAAACCTATAGTAATCAGCTAAAAGAAACAGCATGAACAGAATGCCTGCATTTTGCGCTGCCCCTGTGAGTAGCACGTCCCACTGTACTGCTTCAGGCACTAGAACAGCGAGCCTGTGAAGTCATCTCCAGCCTGTCATTCCCCACCCTGCTGACACAGAACCTGGAGCAATCTCGTTACAATGTAGAAGCAAGACTGGGTCGAGGCGCAGATGCTGGGTGGTGGGTACCCGGGCAGGGGGCAGGGAGAGGCTCACTCACTAATTCACCTCACTGTCCCTGCCCTGCAGTGGCTTTGTCATTAATTTTTACACGTCTGAGCGGCCTGCTAAAAATCTCCCAGGTCATGTTTTGTTTCAGGCTGAAATGATACTGTTTTCAAACTACAGGACCTTTGACGTGTCCTGAGGGCCTGGAGTGGTTGCAGTCTGGTTGCTTTCTTCCGGGCTGCCGGTAAAGCAGCAAAATCACCCTGGTAGTGTGATGACCAAAACTTTCACCGCAGCGTTCCAGCTGACATGTTCTTGTCGCAGGTGGCATGGTGGTGTGGTAGTTCGCAGTACAGTACTGCCTCGCCACACTAGGTCCCTGGGATCAGCTCCTGGGGTGTTTATGCGCGTGAGGCTGCATGTTCTCCCCAGGCTCACGTGGGTTTCCTCCGGGTGCTGCTGTTCCCCCACACAGTGCAGGGACAAACTAGTAGGCTATTCGGCCTCTGGGGAAAATTGGCTCTGGTGTGAGTGTGTTGGTCTGTGTCTGTCTGTCCTGTGAGCCTGCCTTGCATCCGTTGCATGCTGGGATAGGCAGCCCTGTCTTGGATACTGTGGTTACAGAATAGATGGATGGATCTGCTTGTCACAGCGTCACTTCAGTAAACTTCTAGAACTGTGCTTGGACTTAACAGAACACAAGCACTAAATTCCAAACAGCTTGCCGCTCTGAAAGGCAGCCCACAGAGAAGGGAAAAAAGCAAAAGAGGGACTAATTCCGAAAGAAATGGTGAACGATCAAATGCAGCTGTCCAGGCGGACGCGGACTGTTTCTGCGCTATTTACAAGCATTCTGTTGGCCTTTCCCACACCACGTGGCTGATAAAAGTGAAGAGTCCATATAAACTCTGAGATATTTCTCATGCATTGTTTACTCCAGTCCATTACCACCCATTTGATATTTAAAATGCACATTCTTGGCACCTTGGCACCTGAGTGTAATATTTGCCGCTTCTATGTGTAAAAGGACTTTTTCTTTAACCACACTCCCACCCCCAAGTCTCCAGTGTAATTAAAAATAAATGAGACCATGTAGTGTCAGTATAAACCCTCTCCATCTGCTGTAAGCACAGAATTAACTAGAGTGATGCCTAGTATGTATCTGGTGCGCAACGGCCCAAGTCAGTGTCTTGGGTGTCTTTCTTTCTCCTGTGTCCAAATGCAAATCCAGTGAAGGGGGTTCTGAATTCTGAAGCCAGACTGAGTTAAAAAAAGCTGGAGAAATGTGCAGTGTCTCTAATGGCCCTAGCTGGGGAGCAGGTTGCCGTGGGAGTCAGCCTTGAAAACCTCCCATTCCTTGACTTCCTTCTTCAGCAGGGAGGAAAAAAACTGTACTTATATATTGTCAGCGCTGGCCTTAGCACTTGTTTCCAGGAAGCCTTGTCCAACATCAGTAAACGAGTAAGAGGACAGTGTCGATACCTGAATCGTACCTGTTTCGTGTGAGTGGAGCAGCAGTCTGTTCAAAGCTTTGGCCCTGGAAGGGTGTGGATTCAAATGTTGGTTGGGACACTGGTTTCGTTCCCTAGAGTTGTCTACATCGGTCAGATTGCTCCGGGAAAAATGCCCTGTTACATAAACAAGTAACAAGCGTCACCTTAAAAGAGAAGACAGTGAAGCGTTTGGAAACCGTCTCCTGTTTCAAACACGAGAAAGGCTTCTGACCTGCCGAATAACGGTCTGGGGATTGTCCGCCCATCGCTGCTCTTTTCTAACCACGGGTTCGAGTTGCATGCAAGAAAAAAAATCACTGAATCAAATTGCAAAATATTTTTCTCTTAACACATCCTCTGTATCTGCAAACAGTTTTTTGTTTTGTTTTTTCAGTTTCTTCTCCTGGCGTTGCCATTAAGTTCAGCCCCATGCCACACGCAGTAATGTTCCTCTGGTTGTCCCTCACGTGATGTAGTGATAACGGGTCTGTGTGGCCAAGTTGTTCTCCAGGTTGTCGTTGTGAATGAATGTCTCACAATTGATTTGTCTGGTTAAACGGAGCTTTAGTGTTATTATTACCTGCAGGAACAGAATTGCAACAATAAGCCTGATAAAGAACCTGTGAAGAATCAGGAACTCGGACACAGGAAAAAAGAAAAAAAATAGGTTTATTAAACTGTTTTTTAAGATTCCGTAGCAGAATGTATCCCACAGTAGTTGTGATTCTTTCCATGAGGATGCTTTCTATGAGTGAAAACAAGCAATTGAGAGACAATCCCTTTACATTAGTAAGTTTGCTGTTTAATTGTTATCTCAACGGCCTTTTATTCTCTTTTTTTTGCAGTCAGACAGGCAATGTAAAAACTGTGGTGTTACCTGTGATGTACCTTAATGAGGTAAGACCGTTTTCACTATTTTGTGCCCCATTAGTACTGTAGTTTATTGTTGTGAGATTGCCAGGTGATTATTCTGATGTCTGTAAGAGACAGTATTTTAAAATTAACAGTGCTTCACATACTGTATGCTTTCATTTCTGATAGCAGAAAATCCATCAAAGTTATAATACCGGTCAACAATTTATATAAAAGCCACCAGCACAGCTACACGTGGTCTAACACATTTGCCTTCAAATACATTAAAACGGTTTTGTAATTAAAATGCAATGTCAATGCCTGCAGTCCACTGTCATCATTATAATTATTATTATGGGAGGCTTTAAAATGCAACAAATGCTACTGGGTCCAGTGCTTATTTGTTGCATATTTAATGCCTCCCAGTCTATAATCCATGCTTTTTTTTAATCCATAAACTTCCTGTTATTGGTTTAAAATTGCTGCTCTACAGCCTCTGTGATGTTATCTGAACAACCTGTAATATGCTACTGTTAAATAAGCCTACAGGCAAATTAAATCCCGTTTAAAAAAATTGTAATGAGAACCTTGCAGCTCTCTTCTCTGTAAAGTTACTTTCTCTTTGACAGAGCTTTGTGTACATGAATGCTCAACTTTTGTGTAGTAAATTTACAGTGCTGACAGCAGATCTATTTGTACAGAATGGCTTATACTGCAGTAGCCTGAGTGAAGTACCTTGCTCAAGGGTATATAAGTACACTGTCCCATCCAGGACTTGTAACCTTTAGAGCGTTTTACTGTCCCATCTGTTGTGGCTATATTCCATGATCCCAAAGCCAAATTGTTTAGAAAATGCAATGTCAGTAAAAAAGCAGACTGAATGTCTAGTTAAGAAATAACTGCCCTTCACCTTAAAAGAGCAGACAGTGAAGCGTTTGGAAACAGTCTCCTGTTTCAAACACGAGAGAGCCTTCTGACCTGCCGAATAATGGTCTGGGGATTGTCCGCCCATCGCTGCTCTTTCCAGCCACAGATTCAAGTCGCATGCAAGAGAAAAAATCACTGAATCAAATTGCAAAACACTCTTACCACCGAATCTGTCGATTTTAGTTTTTTGCTCTCACATATTCTTTCTATCCGCAAACAACCACTTTGGAGAAAAGGTTGTTTTTTCAATTTCTTCTCCTGCCTTTGCCATTAAGTTCAGCCCCATGCCACACGCAGTAATGTTCCTCTGGTTGTTCCTTACATGATGTAGTGGTAACAGGTCTGTTTGGCTGGTTCTATGAGGTATTTAGGAGTAAAATGGGCACAGAAATAGCCTGGAATAAATATTATTTGCTGTACTGCCAAATTAGAAGACTGACCTTAATTGGTTATCTCAGCTGAGTAGTATCTGGTCATGCTTTTTGCTTTTGCTCAGGCCATCTTGACTAAGGTTGCTGATATTGTACTGCAGGAGCTCCATAAAACTGGTGCAGAGCATTATACCTTTAAGCCAAGGGCTCATGGAAATGCCCGAGGATGCTATAATAAGTGAAAACAAGGGTTTTTAAGTTCACTCTTTCATATATTTTCATTTTATGCCGTTCCTTTATAATTGTGTTTCATTACAGAGAACAAGTGTGGTGAAAAGTCCAATTTGAATTCACAGAAACATTACTTTTGAAGATTCTGCTAAGTAATTTTGGAGGGATTTTTTTTTTATTGCTTTGGCTGACGTTCTCCAGCTTTGTTTTGTAATACAGCCCTCTGTCCCTAGCTGAGCTGTCCAGACCAAAAGAAATTGCTTCCAGGTTTCAAAATGACACGTGTTGAAATCCTTGGAAAATACTCTAGGTTTCCATAAGAAGGGAGTGACTTCTTCCCACTGCTTCTACGTGTACGTTTGTTCCCACAGACAGAGCTTTAGGGTTTGTGCCAGATATGTCCACAGATGCACATTAAATCTCAGCCACTGTCTCTTCTCTCTGGTTGATCCTGACAATGAAATTCACAGCTATGACGCAGCTAAGGTGGTCTTTAACACGACTTCACGGGAAAGCAGGTTAAAGCTGAGGATAGGTTTGTTTCCATGCCATGTGTCATTGTTTGTCATTGTTCCTCAGAGCGTGCTGATAGATGATGGCTCGGCAGGCAAAGTGGGGAGTGTGCTGCAGCAAGCCAGCGTGGTCATTAACATCCCCTTCATCATCATCGCCCTGGGGATTCTCCTGGGCATCGTCTTCCTGGTACTCTTATGCAAGTGCCGTGTCTCAGAGGTGAGTTCCTGAGTCTCATGGGGCCACAATGTGTTGTACCCAGTCTGCGGTTACACCACCTTACAGCTGTGAAGGGGCTCTTAATCCCTGGAGCGAGAGACGAAGGCGGGGTCTGAACGTGTCCGGGTGGGGAGCTGTGTCAGCAAGCGCTGGCTACAAAGGAACAAGTAAAGGCTTATTTCACACTGGGGGGAAAAAACCCCAGAAAAAATAAGCTTTTCAGTTGTGGAGCCTTCTTCAAGTGAGAGGAAGAGAGAGAAAGGTAACAAGGAAATAAAACACAGGAGGACGAGGGACACTGTAGGTGAGACTGTGCACTGAGCAGGCGAAGGGAGAGGGGTGAAAGATCAGTGACTTTGGATTTCAGGACTCCTTCTCCAGTAACACATCAGAAGCCAAGATTATCCTTAAACCCGGATCATGGCTTCCCCCTTACCTTAATAATAGACTTCATTCTTAAAACATCTCCATTCGTTTCCAGATTTAACCCACTTCTCACTTTTCTCCCAGATCTCCCTTTGTGTGGACACTCTTGCTCACCTGCTCTGTCCTTTGCTCTGCTGTGCTTTATATCCCTGCTTCCTTCCTCTCTCTGTCCCTCACATCTGAAGGAGGTTCAACGGCCGGAACATTGTGCTTCCTCTTTCTGCCTTTCATCAGGGAATTCACTTTTCCTTGTTCCTTTCCGGGATCTGAACTTTACTCCAGCTATTTCATCACTCACGTTAGTGCGACGAGGGAGATGAGGAGAATTGTTAACCAATTCAAAGAAAAGCTTTTCCTGCTTGGGCCATGTACAATTTACGTTAGCAATCGTTCTTAAAACAGAGAAGCTCCACTTCTCTGAAACACTCTGAAAAACTTCCTTCCTTCTCCTGACAGGGTTGCCACTACACCAATAGCCCCCAGTTTCTTAGAAATGTCCACTACAGTAGACGGAGGTAGATTCTCCATCTTGTGGAGGTCTGTGACGATTTGCCTGCAGTCTTTGGAGAGCTCCCTGACCTTAACCAGGGTGGTGCAGGATCATCAGTGATTTCTGTATTGGTTCCTTTTATACCCCAGGGAAACTGAAGGTCTCTCTATGGTCCCAGGGGCCTCTAACACCTATGCAAGGAACAGAATGCTGTTGTCAATATGCAGTTACATTTTCACCCAGTTATTTCTGACAAACGTCTTGGCTCTATGCAGTGCTATTATGAATCCAGTATAACATTGTTTTTTAGTTTTAAGCAAGGCACCAGATGAAATCTGTGACTCTTTCTTTGATATGTTTTTTTTTCTTCCTGTTTCTTTGGGGTGGGGGGTGGGGGTGTTTTACTATAATTTCCTTTGCGTATGCTTGTGATCATACAAAATGCATGGGTTGCATGAATGCCTTTCAATTAAACAAAATTGAAAAGGAAAGAAAAAATGTAAAGAAAGAAAGGGGGAGAAATGTTTCGAAACGTGTTAAGTCGCTATTATTCTATTGTCTTTAATCCTATCTAGTTAGACATTATCAAAATAATTCTGTCTGTAAGTCTTTAAGTAAATAGTAGGAGATAATTATAGCAAACGTACTGTGCTTTTACCTTACATGCAGGTTTGAACTGTCCAGACTAACTCTGCCTCTTCTCCTCTCTTCATGTCCAGTCCTCTGCGGCAGAACGGCAGCCTCTTTTGCAGCCATCTTAAGTCGGATGTCCGAAGAGAACAGTCGGATGACAATGGAAAGGACGTCTGAATTCTCTTCCTCGTCACGATCCCCCAGAATCACATTCTTTTTACTGCTCTTAGAACTGCTTATATTTATTGCATGTTGACCGGATCTTTGGCAGGGGGTCTGCAGAGTGGAATCTCCGATTTGAACAGCTGTTGATCTTGTCCGAAACGTTTGTAGAGTTTTACAGAATGTCGTGTGGAGGCAGCAGCTGAGTAACTCCGCTAGGTTTGTGTGCTTAGTAAATCGTTTCCTCTGATACTACTGTGCCGGTTTTAAACTCAGGGCTGCCAGTCTTTGGACTGCCCAGTAACATACTGTACATTTGCGATATTTTACCTAAACCTCCTAAGCCAATTCAGGCAGTATTAGGCTGTATTAACCATAACTCTTCCAGTGACCACGCTAATGCATGAAACCACTCCATTCTGACAATGCGATTCCTACTGTTAAAAAGCATAGCCCATGCCCCTGTTGCTCGTACTGTGTATCTCCTTGTTTTTGATGACCGTATTTATTGAGCTGCCAGCCATGCCACCTTAAGAGCACAGTGAAGCAGCCCATAATTTTACACTTGTCACTCTCTGGTGATCTCAGTTCAGGCTCATTGATAAAGGTTGAGCTGTGACATGAAAAGTCTCCGTCAGCCAATGAACGCAGTAAACACAAAACCAAGAGTGAGGTGTTTTGTTTTTGTTTTTTTTACTTTTCGGAGTTTCAGAGTAGATGGAAAGATTGGGAACAATGATGAAGGACCACCGAGCGTGTGTATTTGCTTTTATTTCAGAACGCCTTAGAAAGGTCCAGATGAATTTCATGCACATGTGTCATTACTGAACTTATTCAATGACCGTAACCCAAAGATAGAGAAAAATACTTTTAGTGTTCTTAATGTATTAAAAAGCGCTGTATGTGTTTGCACTATAATAATATTATAATATGAACTGATATGACAGCAGTGGAGATGTTGGTCGCTTTTTATTTAAACTGCTCAAGAGATCCAGTACACTGCAGGGCTGATGGGTCAGTGAATCAAAGGATTATAGCTTATGTAAAAAGAAATGGGTGTGATTTTAGAGCACGGTATGTGCACCTCAGAATTTTCATTGAGGACGTAACGAGAGTCACATTAGGACCTAAAGATTAAGCTGAAGTGCCTTTTTGTTTGCTGAAGTTGGAGTAAGACAGCTACTTGTATAAAAACACTTCACTTTAACATATAGTAAATGTCTGTTTGCCCCAAATAAAAAGCTATCACCTGTATCCTGTTTGCATGTGTGTATGTTATAATCTGTTATAGGTGTGCAATTTAAATACAGCATCTTCGTTTTTTGGTGTTTGTTTTTCATTGCGTGACTTCCTTTTACACTTGCCTTTTCTGCCAAGTCTTTTTTCCCCGATAAAAAACACAAAAATTCTGAAACGCGGTGAGCTGCTCCACTTTAGCCCCTGGGTGTGTCTCATCAGCACGGTGCGCAGGTGATGCTGATCACTTATCTCAGAGCCCATTTAACTGTCTTTCAGCTCCTGCAGTTGAGCAACTGATGTAGATTATGTGCCTGCGGTTGTGCATTTGTTTGAGATGAACAGCAGTAGTTTTTGAAGCTGAAGAGAGGTGTTTGCAATCTACCAGCTATAACCTTTTAAATAATAATAGATGATAATGACATAACAGCCTGTACTCAAGGACAATGAATACGTTGAACTACTTTGGGATGTAGTTATATACAGTGATTATTTCCCTTCTGTACAGTAGAATCTTCCAAAACCACACCATGATTAACATGGGTTCCTCTCTGCTCCAAAATCTGTTCCAGGTGAAACAAAAAAGCCCCTCCTGATCCTCTCTCAGGCCGATGTGTAGACACCAGAATGCTTGTATTTACCCCAGAAAATCAGAAATGCTGGGACCTGCTGAGAAAGCTCCTTTTGATCTTTCTGGGGCAGGAGCAGTAGGGCAGGGTGTTGCTTCTCTCTTTCACGATTTTTATGGGTGTGCAATCAAACTGAGAAGAGGAAAACTGGAGTGGGGGCATCAGAGAGGCCTGGGTTCGTCTGTGTGATGAAACAACGCTGTACGTGCTTTGGGACCATGTGCGATCAGATGACTAAGCAATGGAAAACTGCTTGTGTGGCACATTGCATTACCTCTATGCTTCAGCTATAGTTGCCATGTCACAGAATACCTACTTTTTTTTTATTGATGGGATGCCCGCCTCGTAAAGTTGGACGGCGATACGAATTGTATTCGTTTCCAAAGGAAAAGGTCACCTTGTCTCCGAGTCCAGGCGTGAGTTGATGCCGTCGTTCTGTTTATAAACTTTTTAAGAGCTGTAGCTGTACTTTGACACCTAGACCATTTGTGCAATAACAGATTTCACACTGAGTAGAGACCTTATGAACAGCATAAACTTCTTTTGTAACAATCTCTCTTTTTATCAGCCTCTGCAAAGCCCAGATTTTTCTGCCAGTCTCGTCAGTGTGGTACAGTAGGTTATACTGTTGGTTTAAGGGTGGGGCTGAATGTACTGTGTTTAGTAGGTGATAACCATTGTGAAGAGTAGCTGTATGTGAGCAGTACAAGTCACAGGAACGCATTTCTCACAACTGATGTTTTATTTCTTTCAATTCAGTACAGAATGTTTCTTTTTTCCTTTTTAATGTCTAAATATTTTGTCAATCTGTTTTACAATAAAAAAATAGTTGCACTATCACTGTAACAAACAATAATAAAATGTTTTTTCCCCCATTTTTCTCCTAACATTCTGTGTGCAGTCATGCTTTGGAAACAAAACACTGTATTCAAAAATAAATAGAAAAGACAATAATGATGCACTTGTAATTTTTCAGCATTTCTTTGAACAAATTAAGATTTTGTTCTGTACAGTACACTGAATTCAGTTTCCAAAATGGACTAATCTTGTAAGCACTTTAAGGTTGGAGGTTTGATAAAATCATTATTTCAAGACTTAATTGTACATTGACATGCTTAACCATATCTTTAATAAGATGAGGCAAAACCTTAAATGGCCTCAGTCCAACAGTGGAAAACTTCATGTTAGCTTCCAGATTTAGTACAGTATATGATACTAAGTATATTTAGTATATGATACTTGTTCTGAGTCAAACTTCATACTTACAAATACCCCAAACACTGGCCTACTGTACTTCATGACAACTGCATAACAAACTTAGCATAGTTGTGTATTAACAAAACATTAATATATAGTTCGAGCATCTTGGTTTATTACATTGTAAAGTACAGCGTAGAAACTCGTTTAACGTCTCATGGATACACGGGAAGATCTGTTCTTTGGTTTTGACATTGTGATTATTGGAAATGTACAATCTTTGATGGTCACTTGACCATGAATTGGTTATTCATTTTAAAAGCGTATATTGTGTTTTGCCCACATGAAGCCTGTGCTACATATTCGTTTAGATTTCTGAAAAGGGCTAGCTCTTCGTGACCACGTTGTAACTTCCCCAAGTTTTTTCGGATCCCAGGACACAGGCTACTGAAGCTCCTCTAAACCAGCCGGACTGGGAGGTGGATGTTTGGTCGTTTTCCCTCAATAACGGGTCCAGTCAGGGTGGGGAGCTTTCTCCGTCTCTCTAGGATGAGTAAACCCGGAATGCACAAGACTGATTCCTACAAGGAAAAACAGAAGGACAAAAGAGTTGGAAACGGAAAGAAACAGGGATGTGGAAGGCACGGAGGGTTCCAGGCAGAACTGGGGGCCGCGTGATCATTAAACCTCAGAAGAAGAACCTGCCAAAAAAGTAGCGTTTCTCTGAAGAGTGAAGCAAGCGTTCAAGTGTGAGCTCAGTTATCGCCAGGCCTCACGCTTCATACTCAATACAGCTCACCTGGCTGACACTGTCAGGCAAGGCCCAATGTTAGTCTAGAATATCAGTGACCTAGAACATTTGTCTTGAGTGCATTGGCAGATCTGGAAACCACCGGCAGTATTTCCTCTCAGCGTACAGTATTTTTCATTTCTCTTCTTGCGCGACGCTCTTGCGTTCAGTCCTGGACCTGCAGGGCCAGTGTGTCTGCTGGATTTCGAAGGCTTGTTATCGCAGCAGCACGCGAAGAGCTGGCCCGGGAGGAGCTGGGAAACTGGCTCATTTAGGCCCATGACCAGCTGGTCTGGCTTGTTAAGAGCAGGCTGGTACCGGAAGCCTGTAGAGACACTGGCCCAGCGGGACCAGGACTGGACTCCCCTGTGGCAGACAGTGCAGTGAGCTCAGGTGGGGTAAGTCAGGGGTGAACCTTTTCCCTGAGGTCTGGTCGTCTGAAAGCAAACACAGCCGGCTACCATAACCCCTTGGGGCACCAGTGTCCAACTCCAGTCCTGGAGGGCAGTAGTACAGCAGGTCTTATGGGTTTCTAAATCAACAGCACCTTAAAAGTCCTTAAACTGTTGGAGCCATCTGCACTGCTCTGCTTTTCCACACCCATTTTCAGTGTACAGTGTATAATTCTAGTTATTTTTATAGATTAGATTTGCTGTCGCTGAAAATTCTTCCTTCGTTTCAAATGTGTACAGAGGGTCCTGGCTAATTCGGTATAAAAAGAAAATCTGACAAACTGTGTGGTGTTTTAAGCAGGCCAACATAATTGGACTCTTAGTTCTTGATGTACTAGGAATAAACAACAGTAAAGAGCAGAGATATTGGAATATATCGGGAGATTTGCTTAATCAGGCCCATGTTTCCTGGCAGGTAGATAAAACTGACTTCTGCTCTCAGTCACGAACTTTAAACTAAAGTGAGATTTATATCTGAGACAAATACCCTTTTATTACTTTGTGGACATGGTGGACCTTGAGGAGTTTGTTAAAAAAACAGTCAGACAGAACAAAATTGGCCAGAGTCATTTTCCCACAGTTTCTATAATTTTATACATTCTAATAGTGTATTTTTTAACTATGATTTATACCACTACTATTAGTGATAAATATAGAGTATACAGTATAATGAAGTAGATAAATGCTTATTTTCTGGTTCATACGATCTTCAGACACGGGAACTTATTTAAATGCATCTTTTCATACAAATCACCCAGAACGGCATTTGCAGACTCAATAGTTTTTTATGGGTAAAGTAAAAAGAACAACAAATTTGTCATGTGTATCTTCATGCATGCAGGTAAAACAAACAGTAACTTCACCTTCATTTTCTGTTCTTTTTCACCCCCCTTTAACTAAAACGGGTTTCAACAGACTACGTGTTTAAGTTTATAGAAATATAATACGTCGTCTTTTTGGATGGAAATCAGTTAATCTGACGTGCTTGGCGTCCAGTGTGAACGTCATGTGAGCAGCACTTACTTGCAGAAGTTGGTGCCACATTCCGAGTGATCTCTGCAGGAGGCACCCACAGGCCTCAGCGTGATCCAGCGCCACAGCATGGATCGCTTCGCCCGGTGCACCAGCTCGTAAGCGCCACGAATCTCCCCCTCTTCAAGCGGAGCAGCCTGGACCTGAGAAAATCAGGGACCGTCACCCTCTATCTGTGTGCCGCGCTTGCACGCTAATAACACAAATAGCCAAGCTTCTGCCCAGCTTCCTTTTCGGTGAAAAAATGAAAATGAATCAAAAACTGTTATTCCTTGATCTGTCTCGCCAATTAGCTCCTAATGTCAAGTTTTTCCACAAAGGGACGACGGAAATCTAGTGAGAAGAAATAACCTTTCTTGAAACACCTTTCAGCTTTTCGGGGCTACAAAGTAGTGAATATCTGGTACTAGTTTTATTTGGCTGACGTTTGTATCAGTTTGCGCAACAGGGCGTTTTACTACAGCCATCGGAGTGAAGCACTGTGCCTCTCTCAAGGACACCACAGCCGTGCTCGGCCTGAAATTTCAAACTATAACCTTCCCCTTGTGAGTCCCAAGCTCCTACACTGGCATGAAGACATTGTTCAAACTGGAGGAAGAAGCTGCGCTACAATCCGCACTCCTCCAGAATTACGTGAAAGTATACACACCACTTTTATCTTGCTGCCGTTCTGCCAAAATCGTTTTTTAGAAAAATGAACGCCTTGAATGTCAAGAAGATGGTCCGTGATGTTTTGTTTGTTAAGTATACAATAGACCACAGAGTGTACATCTAATAGAGTTGAGCTTTGGCCTGACAAGTATCGGCCAGTAACTTGTAAATATATGTAGTATATCCACACGTTGACGTGCAATACTGATAAGACATTTAACGAGAGCCCAGTTGGCGGACTTACCTGAATGCCACAGAGCAGTGACATAATTAAGGTCACGGCAAAGATTTTGCTAAGTAGTGTCCTCATCATTGCTTGTGTTGTGAAGGCTGTCTTGAGGATAATGTGAAATGAACACACTCCGGAGTGCTGCCTGGCTTTATATTAGAAATGATTATCTTCTGATATCAGTAGTGAAGGTCAATGAGCAACAGAGTGAAGTCTGACAGATAGCGTACAAAGGGCACCCTTTTAACCACCGAAAATAGTGTGATTCCACGTGTTCTGTGGCTGAGAGACCTTTCCCATGCCTCACGTAAAGAGTATGAGGGTACTCATACTTTCATCCGATAACTGTCTTATTCGAACACAGCATCCGTGACAGAAATGACTGTTTGGGACAAAGTCTGAAACATTACTGGATTTACTTCAGATACATGTGCTGCAGTGTAATGTTACTTTATGGGAACAGTAAAGATAATGAGTCGTTCTTTTCCTTTGCACAAAGCTAATCTGACGGGAACACGTGAAAGAAGACAGTGACGTGCTGGCAAACACATGGGGCAGAGCCTCCATGCACATTTGGAGGCAAAAATGAATTTGCATAAAAAGCACACCTCACGGATTCCACAATAACTTCTGATTTATTGACTGTTCAGGCCCCTTGAGGAGAAGACTGCTTGATTCACAGGCTGCACCCAGGCTGCAGACTCAACCGTGGGTCTGTAATTCGTACCTCTCAGTCTCAGTCAGTCTTTAAGTCATCATCAGTTGCCCCAGGTACAAAGGCATTATGTTCTTACACCAGTAAGGCTTCTTGTAGAATACAGTTCTGTTACCATGTTACAGAAAACATATTGCTCCTCTGTAGTCCAACCAGAGGAGAGCAACCAGGTATGTTCTGAGGCTTAAGGAGAAGCTGTCAGAGGGTACTGCAATGTCCTAATCTTGATCAGAAAAGACCCAGCAGATCTCTTCAGAATGGAAAGTGAAACATGAACCAGGGGACACAAGTGGAAACTAGGTGGAAGTGCATTCAGGAGGCACTGCTCTATTGAAAGGGCTCTAGGAAGGCTGAGTATGGAACAAGGTCCAGTACCTAGTTACAGTACATGTACAGTATACAGCTTACAGCTACAGTATTGTGATGAGGCTGATTCCCTGGCTTCTTTAAAAAAAAGACTGGATGAGATCCAAATGACTTCCTCTTGTTTAATATCATGAATTATGTTCCTATGAGAGCCTGAGGGTCTTCTGAATTCTGTTTAATCCCAGCCGTTGATAAATGAACTGCCTTTCCTTGGGCCTAATTGATCAAGGGGGGCTTTTACAAATGGGGAAAGTCCCAGCCCACAGCCTCAGCATCAACAGGATGAATTCCTCCTGCCCTAGGAGTGGCAGTACAGCTTGCCACTTTCTAAACATTTGATCGAATTTCACGGACTTCCAGTGACAGACAGCTAAGGATATCCCTCTTCCCAAGTCCCAGCGTTACCAGGGAAATTCCTTCAGGCCTGGCCTCCTCTCTGTCCCGAGAGTTATACTTTGTAAATGGAAGCATTTACTCATGTGATTTGCAGAAAATACTGCGTTGCTTCAAAAGATGAAGGAGTATTCACATGACTGGGAAGCCCACTAGGAATCTGTGGATAACCTTCAGCTCATTCGTCTCTTTAATCAGAACCTTGATCTGGACAGAAGATTAAAACTGCGTCACATTTGTTCCTGCCTGGGTAGAATCCCATCTGGCCAGTGTCACCCACTCCCCTGACTGACCATGGACCATGTGCCATAATTAAGCAACAATGTGCCAGCTGTTCACATAATTCACTTTCTTCAGCTGCACTGAAATGAAAAAAAAAAAACTTCTAAAACTTTTGCACGGGCATATCTTTTAAAATCAAGGTCTTAACAGACCTGAGTATATTTTTCCTGTTTGGAAAGTTAAAGTTCAGTCACTAGTTGTCTTTCCAATAATATCTCAAAACCATAATACTGTTGATGCAATAGCATTGCAACATTCCACTTCCTTAGGTGAAAGTCTTCAACCCTGGGCAGTCTATGTTATCGTATCCTTACCAGCATTATGACGTTCAGACGGTATGATCCGGTGCAGAAAGAAAATGCGTGTGTGAGTCTCTTAGAGTTCATTTTCATTTGGAGATGAAGGAAGGCACACAGCACAGGTAAAGGTCACATGTTACTGAGTGAGAAGTTAAAAAAGAAAAGTTAGTTATTTGCCTTCAGTGCTTTCTCAGCCAACACAGCACTGACGAGTGCTGTACTCCAGAACATTAGTTTACTGCCAGGCCTTCTGAGCACAGAGAACTAGCTGAAAAGGAATGAGGAGGCAATACACATAATTAGCCCAGGGTTGAGAAAAAGACTGTAGCATCCTGGCTCGTGACAATCTGTCTGTTTGCAATTAAAAGCCATTCAGATCCTAAAAGGTCAGTATGAAACGGATTGTAATAACAGCGAGCAGGAACACTGGGGAAGCTTCAGATCAGTTTTTGTGAAGTTCTGTTTTTACAGTAGATTGTATTCGTCCAACCCTCCATTTTCTAAAAAATAGTAGTATAATTCACTGCGGGTATCCTCAGTTCCCCGACACCTTGACGGAAAAGATGGATGAAGAATAGAGGACACCAGTATACGGGCTACAGGAGATCCACCAGATTCTGTAACAGCTTTTTCCCCACAGGCTGTCAGGCTTCTAAACACCCTGGAACCTACTTGCACCCACTCCAATTCCAGAAACAAGGTTTAAACTCCCCCAGTGTTCAGTATATATTGTGTGATGTATTTTTTGTACTATTCTGTAATGGTTAAATTGCAGTATGTATATATCCTGTGTACACTGCCTCTGTTTTGGTGTACACTGTCTTAGTTTGTACGATCTTACAAACTAATAATATTAGTATTATTAGTTGTATTTACTAATATTAGTAATCATTTTAGTATTATTAGTCCTGACTACATCGTTTATGTCAGCGTCTTGTCTGTATTTGCACCGTGGACCAGAAGGAATGATATTTCATTCCACTGTATACTTGTATATGGCTGGAATGACAAATAAACTTGAACTTGAACTAAAAACAACCACGCAGATTTTCTCCAACATTTCCCATAGAGGGCAGTGCAACCACTGACTAGAGAGAGTAAACTTTTAACATGCCAGTCTAGTACAGTACAGTATATGTGAGAAATATACAACTTGCCAACATGGGTGGATGTAGTCGTGTTATAATCTATAGAATAGTAACATACTGTATCTCACATGATATGTTACTTCAACACCTCACATCTGAGACCTGTTTAAAGGTATTAGTGAGGAATTCTCTGTGTGTTTTGGGAAAATAATGGGAAATAATTGGTAATATTTTATGGATCCATGAAAAAAAAAAATTCTTGAGGAACTGTTACACTATTTTGAGTTCAGAGTCAGGCCACAAGCAAACTGCAGTTATACATTAGATAACGAGATTTTCCGGATTATCAGTAAGGTTTTTGATTGGGCTGGGGTATGAATGTGCTGTCTATTTCAACATGGCCATGATGAGGAACTCTGGGATAATTCTTGAAATTAGATTAATGGCAAGTGTCTATTTCCTCACTGAGGTTAAGAGGTTAAGAATTAACTGTAAGGTTACTGGCATGAAGAATTTCAGATCGAGGTTGATGTTTACCAAATAAGAATAAGGACAGAGTTGTAGCCCCTAAGATTAGGATTAGTCCAAGAACAGGGGTTAGAGTGAGGGAGTTACTGGAATTTGCTCATTTTTTGATGCTTCGAGTCTGGAACGTGGTTCACCTAGTGTTGGGCTTAACTATACAAAGTCAGAAGGAATTGGGGGGTTAGACTGGGTGTTTAAACACATAAAAACCGGACTCTGAGCATGGGTTAGTCCTTCAGAGCCAAGATTACAAATCACAGGTTGTGAAGTAGGAGTGGAAAAAGTTTAATATTGATGTTCATCAGTTATTTTGTCTTGAAATTGGTGTGAGGTTAATGATGAAGGCTAGTGCTACTGATAGAAAAAAGTGGACTAAACGTCTGCTTAGAGTGCTTGTGCTGTATCTCAGAGACAAAGCAACACCTAACCCTAGCCCAAACCTGACATTAAAGCTGTCTCAAATATACCGTAAATGAGCATTGCACCAGACCTCTGCACTACTCCTGCTTTATGCCCAGGTCTCACATACCTCTGTTCATATTTTAATTCCTAATTCTAATCCAAAAGTTAAGATCGTATTTAAGGGCTAAGTTTAGGCTTCAAGGGGTCACCATGAACTTCAGCACCTCTGTATGCTTGATCTACTGTATATTTGCTTTTGTCTGTCCTTAATGCCCTTACGTGTCATCATACAAGTACTGCAAAAGGAAGTCAGAAGTGTTTGTATCACTCCCTACCCTTTGGCATCAGTCTTGTGACTTTTAATAGTCATTTCAGGGTTGTACGTATCAGCCGTGAAAGTGAGACGAAAGAGCTGAAATGAGGAAATCCCCTTTTCTATCATCAGTTTATGATGTCATTGTAGATGGTGTGTATGTTCAAGAAGGTGCTCGTCAAAAAAAGGGGGTTTTCTGAGGGATCTGAAAGAAGGTCCTGCAACTGAAACAAGGCTGCAGCTGAACCAGAGTTTCCAGTTCCAGACAGCAGAGGGCTTCAGTTTGCAGACTTCCAGCCCGGAGAACTGCAGAACAGTCTGTAGTCCCCAGATCTGAAAATCCCACACAACGCCTGACTTCAACACAGATGTTTTATCTTGCACTGACCACACCTTTTATTCTCTAGTCACTTGCTTCTTAATGAAGGCAACGGCACAACTACCCAGGGAAAAAAATAAAATCAAGCAGAATGAATGAGGTACAGAAAGCTATCAGCTGCAGACAGTGTGACTGCCCAGATTGCTTAATGCATAACTTTGTATCACCGCAGTGCCTAATTCACTGAGTCAGCAGACCTGAGCAGAAACTATTGAACAATCATTATTGCAAATTAAAAAACAATCTTTTAAATGAGGGATCACGTCCAAAATTGTATAGTTGGAGAGTCCTTTGAAAAGAGAAGGACAGTCAAGAAGTGCTATCATTTTTCCTGCAACAATTTCATTAATCCTTCTTTGGTTTTTTGGCAGTACATTTTGAAGACTAACTGAATTTACACTCCTACAGTATGTAAGAAAAGCCCAAGCACAATTCAGTTTGAGCTGTCAAAGACTGGAGAGCAGCACCCTTTGATACTGATAGGTTGGAGCGGGGTTATTGTACTATAGTGACAGAAATAAATGAAAGGAAATAAATTATTTTAGTCTTCAGC